GTCATCTTTGCTGCCCTGGACTAAAGCTTAGCTAGAGTCATGGCTGTAACACAATATAAATAGATCCCAGGGAAATTAAACTACTGAAGGCCAGGTCTCTGGGGGAATCCTAAGTGTAGTAGGCATTGGCTAATTCTTCAGCAGAAGCTCTGTTTCCAAAGGGGAGTGCCATGCAGGGTCACAAAATGTGCCTTTGTGTCATTCAGACTTTGACAAATTCTTCACTTGGAAATATTGTCCAAGTCAAGGAACATTGGGAAATGCACTTTGCTTTATTTCTCCTCTCTGTAACTGGGAAGAGGCAGAGCTTTCAGATGGGGAAGCTCTTCTGATTAAGACTAAACTTTTTGGAGTACATCATACACATGAGTCTGACAGAATCTAATTTTTTCCCAAAAGTACTAGATTGAGGCAGGGGAAAATGCCAATGGGTAATGTAAAACCAGGGTAACAGGAGAAGTACCAGGGCTATTATGCACCTCATGTTAAACAGTTCAGATGACCCCATCAGCACAGGAGAAGCTTTCCCAGAGAGAAAGCTTGCATTGCAGTGTCTCCAAGCCCCTCAGGAATCATCAACCAATTTATTAGTTTAATGGTTTGTTTTATAACACACTCCATACATTCCATTTCATGCCATCCAACACTTGGCAGCTCCTGCCAAGTGTCCCTGGAGAGGCAGGGATGCTCCCAGCACAGGACACTCCCCAGGCTGTCCTGGGGAGGGGCCTTCCAGGGAAAGGCCAGGGAGCTGAAGATGCTCAGGGCATCTTCACCAAAGCAAACAGACTCATTTTTCCATCCCCTAAGGTGTCTGTGTGAGAGGTGTTACTCTGGTATCATCATGCAGCAAAAAGCACCTACAGGACATGTGCACTTCTCTGCCAATACCTCCTGGCCTAAGGGGTTTGGGTGCATTTACTGGGCCCTACATCTGCCTTGTCACCACAGTGCAACTTCCTGACACCCTCTTGTAACTGCCAGCACCAGGGTGGTACAGCTCCCACACAGCAGCCAGGGAAGAATGAATTAGCAGAGTGAAATCTTGCTTTCCTCCCTTCCTCCAAGCAGAGAAGGCTTGGAGGCTAAAGGCACACAGACATCACCAGTAGCATTAATTTAATTAATTACCAGCATGATAAGGACTGAACAATGAAGTTCAATAATTAAGATTTCCAGGCAGCTTGAAAAACAGTTCTCGTGCCACAGCACCAGAATTGATCACACCTTCTTGAGTTTGCTAACCAAGAAGTTGTATTTGATTTTATCCTCCCAGATGAGTTTCAGATGGGCTCTTCTGAGGCACTGCCATGCTTGCACAGGCTCCACTTCCCCACCAACAATACAGCTGCAAACACAGCGAGCTCTGACAGGCAAACTCTCCACTCAGCCCAGCGCTGATATCAACCTCATGGAGGCACAGATGCACATGCACATGATTTAAATACTCTTTGAAAATAATAATCTAAACACACTTGAAGGGGAAGCTGAGCTTCTCTGAACACTGTTTTAACTTTCAAGTTTTTCCAATCCCTCTCCTGTTGCATAGCGAGGACGTTCCCCAACAAACCTGCTTCTACCAGCAAAACTCACTTCAACTTCTGAACACACATCCTGAACAATTACCTGGTACCAGCAGGCTTATCAAGCCTCACAATGAAAGACTTTCTGTGAGGGAAAAATTTCTTGACCAGGAGGAAGCAATGGAGGAATTAAAAATAGAGGCAAAAATGCATGGTATGCACCCAAGGGTCTGCTTCTGTGGCACATTCAAGTAATAATGGAATTTTACACTGGACTAGGAAATGGCCTGCTATTGAAAAATAAATGCAAAGACCTTTAACACAAACAAATGTCTATGTGAAACTGTGGATATTTATTTTGAAAATAAATGATCAGATCATTTAATTCTATTTACATGGTGACTATCATGCTAAATAATCCAGTTTAAAAACACACAGAAGTAACTGGGTAGACCTACACTGGAGAAACAGAGGTCATGTCTCAGAACACAAGGTAGGAACCAACAAGAGACTAAAAATATGCAGTATAATATTCATATTGCTGCATTCCACGTTTAATCATTGAAATCTATTTCACACTCACACTGCTGATTCTGCTTTATCTATCATAATTATTCTTCCATCAAGAGTCCTGTAGACATTTGCAATCATTTACAGTAGTTATATCAAAGCTACCAACAACCAAGCAATCAACAGTGCTTGTAATAACAATCCTAGTATTCTCTCTGGTTAGAGACAATCATGAACTCTCATTTTGTGACGCACTTTAATTGCCACAGGGTAAGTGAAATGTCTTCTTTAATACACATATCTTGCATAACAGGCATCTGTACCAACATCTGCAGAAAGTTCCATGGACAGATGTATTGACATATTCTAAATGTCACTAGAAGTCTATCTGCAGTTTATTAACTATGCAAAAGAACAGGGAATGTAGGGCAGCTGTAGGTTGTGACAAAGACATGAAGAGGGAGTGTTTGGAAGCCATATAAATTCAGTGGCAACAGATAATGCATGAGAAACTGCTACCTCTTTGCCACTGGGAAGCACCTAGGACTGTGAGCATATCCTTTCAAATTAGGAATAACCTTTCCTTTTGACCATATTATCCAACATATATTACACCAGAAGTCTTAACACACACCTTTCCCCTTCAAGTTTCACACTTCCAGTGTTCTAATTCCTGTGGCTCATAATGAAGATATTTATTTTAAAGACTCTGTCAATAAATCAGTAGTTTAATGTCCTCAGGAGAGGCAAATGGATGACAGGACATCACTCCTCAAAGCCTCTGTCCAGTTCATGAAAAATCAGTTTACCATAGTCAGAAACCCCAGTGTGGTGGCGTGCCTTGTTACACCTCAGATTGTACCAGGCAGGACCACTTCCTAATAACTAATACTTTTAGTTTTTAAATGCATAAATAAATACATGCACTGGTCCATATTACTTAGATTATTCACCAGAAATAAAAAGAAGAACAAAGCATCTTCTTGATGTGTGGATGTGGCTACAGTCTTTGTGGATTTATAGACTGCATACAATTCTACCTGCTATAATCACCACATGTGCAGCTCCAGAAGCAGAAGATTGGCTGTGTGCTGCTTTCTAAGAAATAATTTGGCATGCACAAGTATTTCAAGCAGGCAGTTTGGCAAAGGGCAATCAGAGTAGTCAGACAGGCACTATCACTACAAGAAGTCTCTGTGAACTTTCCAAGCTGCAGTGTAAGTAATCATCTTAGCAGTGGAAAATCATGACCTAATAAATTTTCCTGAGCTAAGTCTTTTGTAGCTGTAGTGATGAATGTCTTTTACTGTAAATGCTATAAAGCAAAAGAAAAAAAAACTTAGGAAAATTCATATCTGATATACACTTCAAATAACTCAATACATCCCATTAAAGAAAAAAAAAAAAAAAACAACTATTCTTCAGTGAAACCAGCCTACAGCAGCACAAATTATGTAGATGTAAAAAATATAAATTACAGCAATCAGAGTATATGGAATGTATCATATTTTGGTCACCATATTTAGATACCGAGAATTATGATAAAGAATAAACACTCAACACATCACATGCATCATGACTGAATGGTTAATTCAAGCACATGAATTCTTCCTTCTTGCAATTCAGTCAACTGTGACTATGTGAAAGTTGCAATTTCCAAACTCACTTTTCTTTCATTTTCCCATCTGTCTACATGCTCGACAGAAAGAAATTCCAACAAAACCACACAGATAATATATGTTTTAATAGAATTCTTTAAAATAGTATTTTCATCTGAGGAGTATTAGTGTACTGAGAAAATCCATATAATGTAGATCACATTGTTAATAAGTTTGCACGTGTTTGAAATTACAGCTTATAATTGCATAATAAGAAAAAGATTTATGCATTTCTGTCCCAGGACACACAGACACCACATCCTTTCTGTGCTCTCAAAAGTGCTCTTTTGTCTCACAGCTCTGTTAAACAGTCGGCCACTGCCAGATGCTCTGGCTAGAAATGGTCACAGATGGTCAGTTGTCCAGTTAACAGACCAGAATACTCCCCTCAAATCTCCCCTAAAATTGTATCTCAACTGTACGAAGCAGATGAGAATATTTGAGCATGGTCAGGAAGGCATTTGACCTAGTTAAGACTGCAGGGCAACTTTGATAACTTAGTCAAGATTAACTCTCCAGAATACCACCAAGTAAACTATCAACACATTTCAAGCAGCAAGTGCCAAGTCCTATATTACTTTTGCTGATTATGTGATAGATTGCGTCTTTTGATAAATAAACTCTCAATTCTGCATGCAAACAAAGTACCTTCTACCTCAGGATGATCCCAACACATCTGTACTAATACACACTGCAAAAGCTACAGGAGGAAAGAGTCAGGTGGTAAGTGGAAGGACTCCAGTGGTACTCAGCAATCTCTGTGCTCAGTCCTGCAAATATTTACCAGTACTCCTTAAAAATATTAACAGGATTATAACATGCACAAGATCTACTTGCTTCTATGTTGAACAAGCAGTGCTTGTCATGCAGTATACCTGTGAAAAAGGCTATGAGTAAGACAGAAATAGGCTAAAAATAGCAGAGAAAAATCTTTGGTGTTTTGTATTAATCTTTCACTGTTCCTTGATCAGTCATAAACACCAAAAATATTAAAAACCTGCATATTAAAGTGATTATTAAAAAGATATGTCATTCATGAGCAGCATTTACTAAGTTCTGTATCTTGTGGTAAGTAGATGGGTGTCCTTCCAACTTATACAAGACTTACAAGATCTGGTTATCTAAGTGTTGTGCAACACATATTTTGTGAGAGGATTATTCCCTCAGCAGCCTAAGTCAAGATTGCAAAGCTTATAGCTGGGAAAATAGGTGGCCAAACCTAACTCTGTTGTCTTACAGGTGTAGAGATTTAAGCTCTCTAAAGTGTCACTGTCTTCCAAAAGTGTTGAGAAGTATTTTGTGCACTCACCCAAACCACTGACAGTATATTCCAGGTCACTGGCATCCAGCAGAATGGGTCCATTCTCCTGCTGCCCCTCTTCCTTGTAGTACAGTTTGTAGCCCTGGACAGCTGCAGTGTCCTCAGCGTCCTGGTGCCACTGCACTGCAATGGTTGTGCAGTTCATGGGCTCCAAACGCAGCTCGGGAGACTTCGGTGCTGGGGTTAGAGAAATACATCTAGAAAATAGTCTTGTACTCGAGAAAGAGCTATTTTTCATGCAAAAATCTGGATGTCCATCAGTCTAAACTTCGATTCTAGCTCATCTGTGTATTCCTGTAATTATTTCTTTCTTATGATATCTGACTCCCTATAACCTAAATCTAACAGTTTAATTTAGAATACAACAGAATAGAAACAGCTTTTAATTCTGCATCTTAATAAATAAATAAATTAATTTATAAGGTAGTTCTTTTTAAGTAAAAATAAAAAAAAAATCCAAAGATAATTACAAAGTTACTTCCTGTTTTAAAGCAAGCCAAAGCAAATATGATTAACAATACCATCACACTTCATCAAGTGTTAATAATTCACTAGTAGTCAAAACTCAATTAAATCCAAAGCAGAAGGATGTGAACTACAGCTAAGCAATAAAGTTAAAAATTCAAATCTGCATAATTTTCAAGCTATTTGTGTGAAGTTGAATGTTCTTCTGCATGATATTACTAAATAATAATAAAATCCAAAGCTCGATTATAACAAATTAGACTTCACATATCAAGTCAATTTGTATATTCAAAAATACATGCATTTTTTATAACACAGACATACATGAAACAACTTAGATCCTTATTAGAGCATTACACTGCTAATGTGCAGTGTTCCAGTTTGCAGAAATGTACTTTACATGGAACAAAATAGCACAGGAAACTCTAGTCCATGTTTGTGAGCTGCTCAGATGCTTTAGCTTCTAGCCTCATTTCCTTCTGTTCTATGCAATTTGAATTAAAAAGAAAACGTAGCAATCCAACAACCCCAAAAGCCATTGCTGTTCAGCGCGCAGCATGCTGAGAATTACCTCTGACACTCGTGGCTTTGGGAGTTCGGTGCGAGGTCCACAGGGACGCCTCCCCCCAGCCCACCCTGGTGGCGGCCGTGATGCGAACCAGGTAGACGCTGTCGGGCCTCAGCCCCTCGAGCAGATGCTCGGCAGCGGTGCCCGGCAGCTCCAGCACCTGGATCTTGGTCTCGGTGCTGAGGCGGAAGGACAGGCGGTACAGCACCACCTGGCCTCGCCGGTATTTTGCAGGGATGGGCAGCCAAGATATGAGAATATCTGTAGGACTCCTGCTCGTCAAACTGATTTCAGGAGCTCTCAAGGGAACTAAAAAGGCAAAGACAAAGCTTTTGAGCTCAGGGAAAAGATAGAAAATCCTTGTCTGATACCTCAGCCCACAATGAGATGCCAGTAATGTAAGAATAAATAATCCAACAAGTTCTGTAGATTCTTGTTTAGAGATAATTTGACAGTTCTCACCTGCAGCATACAAAACAGCTTAAGCAAATTTTTTTCTGTAAGGCCCTCAACATCTTCTCTTATTGCTGCCAGCAGTAATCAAAGGCAATCAGCACCTGACTGGTCTGACACACAGCCTGCCAAGGTTAGAGACAACAACCTGCACAGTTGAACACTTGGTGCATGTTTTCTTCCACTTACTCTGTAATGAGGGTTCTGACAAAGAGACTGGCAGACAACTAGAAATGGCAATGCTCCATGCTGCCAAAGCTTAACCCTGTCAGAATTTATTAATCAGATCTAATGATCTACACTAAACAGTGTGTTGTTGCCATGATGTACAGATTAATTAAATCATTGCACAGAAATAAGTCAGCGAAGTCTTGTACAAAATTCTGATTCTACTAAAAAAAGCACATAGACACATAAACCCCCAAAACAACAGGTTAATTTTTTTCCTGTATAGCAAATAGGTATTTCAAATTTTCCTATAAAGTTTGCAAAAGATGTGGTAGGTGTGCAGCTGTATCCACATTGCAGATGCCCAAGAGAGCGTCATAGAGACTAAAGTCTAGGCTATTATCAAATTCTCATCATGAAAGGAGTTCTTAAAGATCTAGAACAGTTATTGACATGATTTAATGAAATGTCTTTCAACATAGAAAGAGGCTCTGTGTAATACACACTGTTGCTCTGTCAGAATGTTATTTTATTCTCATTCCTTTCATGAGCTGCTGTCTTGCACTGTGGTATCCAGAAGTCTCACTGGTACCAACAGAAATTCAAGACCCTCAAGAGCTGTTATCACTGGACTGCACAGTTTGACTCAGTGCAGATAAGAACATTCACCAAAATGACTTCTTACCATCTTCCAGGGTGTGCTGAGTCACATGGTCTGACATCTGACTGGCCCCCAAAGGCATGTAAGCTACGATATAGAAGGTGTAGTTGCTGGCTGGCTCCAAGTCATCAATGATGTAATGGGTTGTATCATTTCCAATGACCACTTGGTACTCTTCATTATTTAAACCTAGGATAAAACAAGGGTTAGACAAACAAAAATTGCTGGAAATCCACAAACATCACAGTATCTTGGCTTTAAGATCTTATGAATTTAATTTCATGTTCTTCCCCAGCCAACCTCTGTTTTTTCAACTCTGTTAAGCAAAAGCTCTTATGCACAGAAGTAACTGTGTCTTGCTGTAGTATAGATTGTGGTGTTTCGGGATTTCCTCAATAAGGGATGCTGACTGCAACTCTAAACCCTATTTAGCATTAGTCACAACAAACTGTGCTCACTGTACAGTAACACAATGGACAAGCTCTAATAGCCATATCATTCATACCCAGCTTCTAAATCTATTTGTTTAGAGTCAGGTTTTTTTTTCAAAACCTATTTACAGAGCCTTTCTATAGTAGACTGTGAGGAATGTGAGGGCTCCACTCCATCAAAAACAAAACAAACACCCTCCTGCCCACCAAAAGAACAAAAAGAATTTATTCAGCAAAAGGATCTCATTTTAGCCCTGAAACTTCTATTACATTTGATTGACATGGTTTTTATTTTAATTTGGATAAAGGCCAATAAGAACAGACCAGAATAATCTTCAAAAATGTTTGTCTTCTTAGCAAGTTGTTAAAAAAGAAAAAAAAAAAGAAAAAAGTGTCAGCAATTCACACTAAAATATGCATAGCAATGCATGCAGCAGTTCTTGTCTTTGTTGGGCTTTATTCCTATAGAGGATGCCTATAAAGTGGACCAAGTGTGGTGAAAGCTGCTGTGTTAAGGAACAATTCACACCAAGTGCATGTCAACTTAATCAAAACTCTGTAAGAGCCAGCTCCTCCTCTTCACAACTGAATTTAAACAAAACGAAAGCCAAATTCCACCATTAAGTTTTCCCACATTTATGAATTAACTTGATAGCATTTTAATTAGACAAGATTACGAGCATCTCACAACAGACTAGTTAATGACTTGTTAATTAGGAATTGCAAGGCACGATTTCTGACCTGCTAAACAAGATCCTTGAGCTCAAATTAAAAGGACTTGTTCTCTCATTGAAAGGATTGCTGGGCCTCATGCAGAGGCCCTAATGAAACAGCCATAATAGAGAACAAGGCTTGCCTTCCACCACAATCAGTGTCCCCTTTGTGCCTTTTCTAAATTACTAACAAGGAATTAACACACTCCAACATGCACGCTCATCAGACTCTTATTCTTCTTGCTACTATGACCCCAATTTGAATGTAAAATATTCTGCTAAAAGAAACAAAAAACAAACACACAAAACCCACACCTGTTAGTTTTTTCAACTAGCTTGATTAAAACACTAACATTTTTTTATATAGGGAAGAGAACCTGAATTTATTTTTACAGTGAAACCTTGGAATACATGAGTTGTGAGATGTAACAATAAGTGATGGCATCTTTTGTATTCAAAAAACTTACCACACTGATGTCTATTAAAAAAACACTTTAAAACTACATACTATTAATGCATTATCCAGTTTTGCTTTCTGTTTAAAGTTTATGGAATCCTAAACATCAGTACAACTTAGGAGATATGGCAAGCACTGTTTTCCTTTGGCAATACTATCTTCTTTCCTCACACTTGTAAAGGAGGTTCCTAACTAAAACTAGAGAGCAATATGTCCAAGAGAGCAATATAGAGAGCAAACTTTTTTGCTTATACATTTATGTTCATAAGAAGCTTCAAGCAATGATAAAACTTCATCAAGTCAGATGTATCTGAGATAGTTTTTAACCTTCATTATGGTCAGAAACAGGGTGTGAGGGTGGAATGGGGAAAGACAAGCTGAAGGGAATGATGAAAGCAATACATTAATACATAATATTTATATTAATAAATAGTTATCTAGAATTCTTAGAGAATAAATAAGATGTTGGCAATGTCAACAGTCTATATTAGAACCTCTATGATCTGGTACGATGTGAATATCATCAAAATATTTTCCTTAATATTTAATTTGCATTACTTTAAATGTAGTTGTTTCTCAATTTACTTTAGAGAGATGGTTGATGTGATAATTTTTCATAAATGCATGTCCTAGACTTTCAGTAACAGCTCTGATATGAGAACAAGATCCTCAGAAAGGTTTACACGCTATCACTCTATCACTTAGAAAGTTATTGTTTTTACAGAAGTGCAGTCTACTAACCCTTGAAGTTCAACATTTTTCTATAAATAAGACAAAAGTAAGGTTTGAGTTCTTATGAAAATTTCTGATACTATACATTCATGTTAAAAATTAGAAACACGTGCAGATCTACTACATTTTGAATTCCACCACTGTAATTACTCCTATTTACACAGTCCTCTCCACTCTCCTTGTGTGGATTTTTTAACTAATGTGAAAGGATGCACAACAATGTTACATTAAATAAAATAAATACCACAAGACAGTCATGGGTATTTGCGAAAGTACATTCAAATAAATCAGAGGTTTCTGTTTGGCTGCTTGCTTTTGTTTGAAGTTTGTTTTATTTTTTAAACCAAGACAAGCTATAATCTCATTTCACAAAATATAACCTTTGGATAAGCAAGCAAATAAGGCAGGGACTGCAAAACTATTTTGCGAAAAACGTATTCCAGAAGATACCTCCTGTTACTACTGTGCAAGATTATTTCCTGCACAAACTTCCCTAAGGACACTTTCCCAGGTTTGTTTGAAGTTATCTGGTCTCTGCTCTCCACAGTTATCCAGATAAATTATCCAGTGTGACTTTATTCATATTAGCTGTAAGAGGGGATTGTGAGCACAGTACTTCAGAGACTGAAAGAGTAGGGGGTAATTTCCCACACCTCTTGTTCTCATTATCTTTTAAAACTCTTTCCTTCCTTCAGACAAAATTCTCCTGAAATATCCTACTTGCAAAAGCAAATGTGGCTATTCCTGCATCAGCATTAGAGTAATTAAGCTGTCCTTCCTGTCCTCTGTTTAGCAGATGGCAGGCTGGTATTCCACACAGAGCTGAGCATCTGCAGTCCTGTCCTTGAATAAACCACTTACTGAATAGCACTGGAAACAGAAACCACTCAGAGAAAACTGGGCTGCAATGCACCTTACTTGAAGCCATGCACCTAACAATTTTTCAAGTTATTAAGCCATCACCTTCTGCTTTTGAAAAATGGCTGTTTCCTACCACCTTACATTACCTTGACTCAAAGCAATTATATAATACTATGGGATTTTAAAATGTCTAGTTACTCATTTTTATTCCAGCTATCCATTCCATTCTATTGTATATCATTTCAGAGACTGGGATAAGCCACTCATGGCCATTCAGCATTTGAGTAGACTTTTCTCATTACAGGAGACCAAGGGGTGAGAGAAGAGTAGATTTTACCATTTGGCCAATATTCCTTTTAAGAGAAGGTAATGAAGACAAAGTATCAACTATTCTACTCCAAATACATGAAAGTCAGTAAAGTCACAAGAATTTGGGGATCTAGACAAAAGAGCAGTCTGTGGTGAGAAGTTCAGATCTGTAAGCCCCCAGGACCCTGCTGTATGCCCTGTTCTTCCCTGCCATGCACACACTGAAGAGGATAGGCAGAAATTCCTGCTGAGGACAGGGAAATCCAGAAAGCACCATGGAGGTTCCAGGTTCTAAGGTCCTGTCCTAACTTCAGAATCTGCTCACTGGAGCCATCAGACACAGGTAAGCTGGAAGAACACTCAGTCCCAAAATGAGATGATGTGGGTAAAGCATTTTTCCCAAGACTGCCTGTTGATTACAGTAGGCATTTATTTGCTGGAACGCTGTGATACAGCCCTGACTATGAACCATTCAAATCTGACAGTCTTTGCAAATTCATTCAAGTTGTGTCACATTCAAATCATTAGATGGCATTGAAATCAAACTGCTTACCTTCTGCTTTCATGTAATGCACAGAGTATGCAATCACTTTGTCTGAATTGTACAGTGGCCTCTCCCAGGCCAGCAGGATTGCTGAGCTCGACATGGTTTCAGCGTGGACGTTGTAAGGTGCACTGGGCCTGTCCTCTGACATAACCACAGTGAGTCTGGCCCTGGAGAGAATGGAGCCCTGGCTGTTCTCAGCCATGCACTGATAAATGGCATCATCTTCAGGAATGATCTGGTTAATCACCAATTTACTGCAGCCAAAAGGAAGAAAAAGGTGGAAAAGAAGCTCACATCTTGGATAAACTTAGCTCCATGTAAGTGAAACAAGTTATGTTTGCCTCTGCTTCCTAAATTTAGTATAATTGACTTACATGCCACAAATTCTTCGATTACAAATGGATGCTCAGCAGTGAAATTTAGCACCTTGAAGTGTTCTGCAAAACCTGCCATGTTTCTGTTTGTGCCTGCAAAGCCAGGCACAGTGAAAGCAAAACTGCACATCTATTTCCTCCCTGCAAAAAGCAGACCCTTAAACTTGCAATTCCTTTACAAAGTCTTTAACAGAAACTTCTCACTCAACAGAAGTAGTAGCAAGATTCTGCTACTCTCTAAATCTAGAGTAATTCTGTGGTGAAACTCTACAGTTCCATGCTGCCCATCCTCCCTGCCAGGTAAGGCACTTACCATAATAAGCCTTACTGATTTTAGGTATTGATTAATATGCATCCATTCCTACATTTAATGACCCATTTCAGGTTGACTTGAGTTCTCTCTTGATTGTCTGTAGCTAGCTACTGTAATGTCATCTTTTGGTAGCACATCACTAGCACAGCTCTCCTACAGCAATTGCAATCTTACCTGTTGTACATTTTTATTCTACCATTGGAGTGTATTCTCCTTCCATTTTTTAACCATGAAATTTTGGGGGCAGGATTTCCTTCTGCTTGGCAAGCAAAGCGAGCAGTACCAGCTCTAGGCCTTGTTAAGCTTTCTGGCCATTCCACAAAGGAAGGTGGAGCTATAGATAAGTTACAAGAGGAAAGAATAGTTAAAAAAATCAAGCCCCTACAAATGCAAGAACGGTCATAACAATAATAATAATTAGTTTTACAAATAAAAACATCTCTCACCAAGCCACCCAAACACATATACACAAGCAGAAAGCACATTCCTTGTAAACAAAGCACATTTGTTTAGAGATACACTATCTGCACATATAGTATTTTTTTCATGTATTTATGAATACAAACAAATCAAACTCCAGGATATGAGATCCTGTTCTCTCATAGATACATGTTACATATTTTTACTTGGTTACAGGGTCCTTTTCTGTGTTGAAAGCCTGTCTTCCCAGAGCAAACATTGCACCTGGGTATCTCCAAGTGCTAGCGCACAACTCAAATCTTGAGCATCTGACACTTCTCATCTAAGTCAACAGACAGAAGAACGCAGCCACAGTTCTGTGACCTGTTCAATCTCTGCAGACTCCCTACAGCCCTTGACACATGATGTTTGAGATTAAATGTCGGCCCAGCACACAGCAGAGCTCAGGAGGACAGGCACAAGGTGTTCAAACCCTGAAAATGGAAGCAGGCTCACCCAGCACAGTGAGAGTTGCCATTGCCACTGTGAAGTTGCGAGTGCCAGGAATGGTGGCCCGGCAGACGTAGACTCCTGCGTGCTGCACCTTCACATCAGAGATCATCAGGTTCCCGTTCCCAAGGACCCGCGTGTTGAACACATCAATGGACTTGTGGTCTGTGTGAGAGGGCAGCAGAAGTGGGTTACAAGGCTGTTGATCTAAATAACTTAACTAAATTGGGTTGTCTATGCAGTGATGGTTTAGATTAGAGTATAAAAGTCAAGAAATGCAAAGGAAATCACAGCTGAGCTTTCAGAACTTCCCATTTTGCATTTACTTTGATCTTCACTAGCTACCTGACCATTCAGATGGTTGGGCCTCATCACTTCTTAAGTGGTTTATATCTGGAATTTACCACCTCAGCTGAAGTTAGCCTCCCATCTGCCTAGCACTATGATTCAGTTCATCACTACCAACATCCACATCATCTTTACAAGCAATGATCAACCATCTCCTGAATTACACTGCAGATAAAACTAACACATTTGAGTACCATGTACTTTCTCCTATTTTCACACCAAATGCTCTAGGACTATAATGTGAACTTTCTTCCTACTTGTTTGTCTGTAAGAGCCACTGAATCAACCAGGAAAGATACATTTAATTCTTACACTTTGAGAAATAGAAATGGAGGAAATTTTTTCATGGTTTTCTTCTATATGTACAGTCCTGGCTTCCACATTTAGGTACAGGTTGGAATGAAAACAAAGTGGTTTTAATGAAAAATATGTGATTCACTGCTCAGTGTTATTATTCTTGCATTCCTTTTTCTCCCCTTCCAGGCTGACTTTCCTGGGTTTGTCTATATCTATTCATAGTCCAAATGGCCCGTTAGTACCAGGTGCAAACTACATTCTCACAGGCCTTCTAAGAAGAAGAGTGGAAGGAACTCTTACAGGTCTGTTTCATGGATGCAGTCATCCCAACGTGCCCCCACCACCGGTTCTACTCCAGTCACGGATCCCTGGAGGTCACCGCCCTGCCTGTCCCTGTGCCCACACTGTGCCTGGGACAGTGCAGACAGACAGCAGCAGCAGGGAGCCCAAAGCTTCAGAAAACCTCGGGGCTCCTTGGCAGCAGTACTGCAGCACAGAACTGAAAGTGTTTCACCCTTTCATCCTACCCTAACCTGATCGTTACTCACTACACAAAGCCTCAGAACCGAAACCTAATTGCTCAAATCCTTTCTTTCCAGTGTTACTTCCTCTCCACAGGCTGAAGGCTGCATGCTGTAATACTGAGACCTACCTAACCGGCTCCATGAGATGATTGGCTTTGGATTCCCTGTGGCTACACACTCCAGTATGACAGTTTGATGAAGAGATGCTGTAATGTTTTGAGGACCAGCTATTATAGATGGCTTGTGAAAAGGCTTCAAGTCTGAGGCTTTGCAAATATAAAAAAAAAAAGATAAGTGAGCACAGTTGAACAAAAACTCAATTAAATACGAAATAAAACAATTTTTTTTAGAGGCACTGAGAGTTACATTTACACCAAAGCCTTGCTTCAGTAATTGGAGACACTTACATTGAACAATATTTTAGCACAAGTTAAAAGCAAGCAAAATTATTTGGACATGTGGTTCACCTACAGCTTTTCAAGGCTTTTAAGTGTTTTTGCTATAGTGTAATAAAAAGAAGATGGTGCCACTGAAAAAAATCTCACATGGTAAATACCTGGAATAACACTCAGCACTGCCTCAGCGCTTTTACGTCTATTGGCCGCAGTTGTAGCAACGCATCGGTAATTCCCAGCATCCTTCTGCTCAACACCATAGATCTGAAGCACTCCTGTAGGCAGAGCAGTTATCCTGCCACAGAAACCAAAAATAAGAAATGTAGACAAACGTTCAGTCAGCAAACACGGTGATGGAATTAACTCCTTGATCTACAAACAGCCATTGCTACACTGACCTGGGAACAGCAGGCTGGAGACTCAGAAACATTCCCAATACATGACTCACCTTCCTGCCTTTCTGAATTACAGGCAAAATTCCCCTCAGCACCACAATGAGAGCACAAGAATTTACTTTCAACAAGCAGATCTTTCTCACCCTCAGAATCAACCATCCCAGCCTTCTTTAGCCAGTTACTACATTCATACTGTTCAGGTTGGCTGATATTTTACAGCAGCTTCTGATATATGGGCATAACTGGTGTACAGTTCCCAGAAACCCACCTATGGTTTAAATTTTTAGTTTCTCTTTTTTCCTTCCTGTGCATGCAGGGTATCTTAGACATTTTCAAATGGAGTTACAGGTCAAAAAGCACAGGAGTCAGTTCAAAGAACACAAACTGGACATGAAAAAGAATCTAGTGAGAGCAGACTGTATTCTTCAAGTTAATCAGTTCATGAGAAGACCCCCTTGCATGGAATTTCCCTGGTATCAAGCATTTTAACTCAATTTTCTGTATACATAATTCTTTATTGTCCCTCTAAAGAAAAACAAGTTCAGCATCAATTCTTTACTGAAAGCAATCCCACTAGTTCAAGCCACCCCCAGAGCCAAAGTTGACCCATTCTGTTCCCCACTGCAATGCCTGCTCCTGAGGATATCTTGCATACAAAATTCACCAATAGGAATTCAAAGATTAGTGATTACTGTGCAGACAATAGTGGGTGACTCTGGCCTGCACTCAGAACATATATTTAACTTCATTAGCCAGCTATTTCAATAGTTGACATGGAACCTTTTTCACATAATGGCATTGCAAGTATCCAGATCTTCTTCTTGTAGCAGGATCAGAATGATAGCAACAAATAAAACATATTCTAAAATGTGTAATCCTACATACCTGTCCATGACTAAGGGTAAAGTTGTTCTATTCACTTCCCATGTCACAGTGGCAGGAGGGTTTGCTGTTATTTTACAGGCAAATCGAGCTACTCCACCTTCTTGGACTTCAGTTGAAAGTGGCTGGACTTCAAATGCAGAAATGGCTAAAAAACAAGAGAACATCAATTTTAAGGGACAAAAGTGAGAAAAAATTCCTGGTTAAATCAAACTCCAGTTCATAGATTGACTTGTAAAAATACCCAGAAATACTTCACACAGCTCTTTTATTTCTGTATGCAAAGAAAGATGGATCTAACTGCCTTGTCAGCTTAGCTCAATAGCCGTTTTCACTGGTTGAAGGTTTACTTAAAATAACTTTGCTTTAACCTAATTCAGTAAAAAAATGTTTCAATGAAAATAAATATGACACGCTCAAATAGAATTAAGCATACAAATTGACTGGCATGCAGCTGGAAACCATATCAATTATTAGAATAACAAAGTTCAAGTCAATTCAACTAGTTTGGGACAGCCTTAAAAAATTTTACTGCAATAGGAAATTTCCAAATCAACTTTTGGTTCCTGACTCACTTTAATAAAAGAAAACATTTGCAGAGTTGTACAAATTCATGTGTGGTAAGAAAATAAACTCAAAGTCAAAAAAAGATCTCAAAATAAGTTTTAGCAGGTGAGAACACTTTTATCCCAACAGTCTGAGCAGTCACCAAGCTAACGTCTGATGCACAGAGCATCAACGTCATTTTGAGCATCTACAACTTGAGGAGTTCACAATATTGAGCCAACTGAAGTGGCAGATCAATAGATACTCTGCAGCTAATAGCTAAGAAATTGATCAGTTGTTGGATTTCCTTGCTCAAAAACAAGGGAAAGTAATAGAAAACCTGCTAATTAATTGCTTATTTACTGCTACTTACAACTAACAGAGCAATTTTTCAGAAGCAACTCCTTTTGGATAACACAAAAAATTTCACACATTTCCACTCCCAGTAACTGCAGAGGGAGCAATCTCTGTAAATGGTACTTCCTTTGTTTTTTTAAAAAATCAGATTCCAATTAAATTTCTACTCCTGTATAAATGATAGAGAAACATGGTTGAAATAGATAGACCAACAGCAGAAAGTTACCTGTCTCTTAATATTCAAGTTTTGTGTTTAAATAATTTCTCCAGTTTACTTGTTTATTTATTAATGGAAAAGATTTTTCATCCTGTTTACTCCAAGACATCCTCAAGCATGCCACAGAGAATACAGACAGCACTGATGCACACCAGGCATTCTACTGATGCTCCCCCTCCCCATAATTTTAATGGCACAGCACAGCATTGAGAGATTAATATTGGGGTGTGAAGGAAACATGAACTCACCTGGTTTCTCCCCCCACTGCCACACACAAATTTGCTCCTAGCACAGGCCTAACTACACAACTGAAAGATTCCTATTGATCACATGCCTATTTCCCTTTCCAGGTGTGAATAAATGCCCTTTTTTTGCACTGCAGGAATTGGTGTTCCTAATCACACCAGCAAAGTGCTGCAGCTCCATGAACAGACTTCCCAAAGACTGGGGATAACAAGACCACAGATCCACCAAAAGCACCTGAAAGCAGCTGGAGCCACATGCTGCAAGCACTGTGGCCACTGTAAACCAGGTCTGGCACCTGGACGTGGCTCAGCCACCCGGACACAGGGAGCAGAGATGCCCCTGGTCCCCATGCTGTGGCCAAACCTGTGCTGTTGGCAACAGGTCTACACAGCCCTAGACACACTTTGAGGCTGTTCCCTCCCCACCTTCACTGCAGACAGAACTGTCCTCTCTCACCAACAGAACTAGGTTCTTCTTTTTGCTCTTTCTTTCACGTTTTAGTAGTACCAGGTTCAAGAACACATTAAAAAACCCCACAACGCGCATAAAGGTGTTACGACAGAACTCTCACATTTAAAACCTGTTGGGGAGACACAAAAGCAGTTCTTGCCTTAAAAGGATTTCTTTTCATAGCAAAGGAATCATCAGAAGTAAAAAAGACTGAGTTCTTTGACTATGTACAAAAGCTCACTTCACAAAACAGACTCAGCACAAGGCAAATAACCTGCACACAGAGGAGGTTGTTCCCATACTGCTAAACTTTCTGGATTTGCTTTCTGATGGATTTGATGCCATCCAGCTCTCCAGCAGTCTTCCACCACAATATTGAGAGGTGGGAGAAAAGAAGAAGAAACAGGAATAAAAGAATCCAAGTTTGCATTACTTTCTTCCCTTCTTCTTCGTTCTAATTTCTCACAACACAAACATGTGTTCACCTGGATTCAGAATATTTCCCTACTGCCATTCTTAACAGATTTTCTTTCTTAACAGAAAATACAATGCTTTGCATTCTTCATTTATTTACTGAAAGTATGATGCAGCAAATTAGACAAGTCTGCTCACATTTCAAAATAGAATCTCTAGGAATGTAATAAAGGCATAAATTATTTGAACAATCCAAACTATTGTAATGTGATTTTCAGAGCCATTCTGTAGCACAGCTGCACCATGGCCAGTGGCATTAGAAAGGATCATTGCAACAAGGCTGAAAGTAATCATATAAGCTTACTGAAGCAAAGCTCTTTCACAGCTTTAAAAGTTTCATCTCCACTGGAACTATAAAAATTGCATCCAGAATTTTCTTATACAGTTACCTTAAGAGACACAGTGAGACAAATGAAACACAATATAGAAGCTGCAGATTAAAGACAGAAGTGACACTCTCCAGAACTACAAATTAGTATTAGTATTTAGGCAATTAGTATTTCACAGACCACAAAATCCCATCACAACAGCAGGCAAGAACAGGTTCAGCTACACTGTATAGAAAGTCCAGTGCAATTTATTAATTGAAGCTGATACACAAAGAACATTTTTCCATCTGAGCAGAAACAATGTATTTCCCCTGAAAATGTATCTTTAAAGACAGCAAAAGTCACAACTATGAAGAACTGCACAAAATCTTAAAAAAAAACTTATTAATGCTACTAAATGGAGTTTTTAGAAACAAAAAAATCCCTGCTTACCTCTTATCTAAGTTCATATATTGTTTATCAGTTTAGTGCAATACTTGCTCTCTCTGTATCTTTCTTTATGTACATCTCTGGTTTCATCTTAATTCTGACTTTATTTGATCCAGTAAAATCTGTTTTTACAAGTCTATTGCTGTCTCGTGAAATCTGACCTCTTTGTAACAGGCTTGTTTTCCTGGCAAGCATTGATTCCAACTCAGAACCCCAAGAACAAGTCATTAAAGCAGTGCTGTTAAGAGGCCAGAGCTCTATAAAATGGATAAGAAACAAAGTCTCAAGAGACATACTCTGCTCCCAAAAACAACCCTGCAATGCAATAAATGTAAGTGCCTTTTTATTTGAATTTCCCTCCGCTCTTCTCCAGTCTATTTAATCATTTTGTTCCCAGATTTATAGCCAAAACAAAATGATTAATGCTACTCTGAGAAGCTGATGCTCCCACCCTTTTTAACTTGCAAGATATCAAATGCTCACAGAAGCAGAAGACAATAACTAGAAACTGTATTTACTTTAATAAATTCCTGACATTTATATGATAGGTGCATGTATTTGTACAGTTACTTCTAAGAATGAAGATCTTTACTGGGCAGAACTGTGTGATTTATGCCATCAATGTTATCTATGCAGAGAGAAATCTGACTTCGGTTCTGGTGCAAGTTCCTTCATTTACCATCGAGGCAAATATCCACAGGTTCAAAACCCAAATAATTGCTTTCTGTGACTCACTGATGAAGTATCAGAGAACTGCTGCTGATGCACATGATTGAATACTATACTGCATAATGTAAAAACCTTCTGTGTACCTAAGCAGGTTTACAGATTTAACTATTAAGGTATGAAGACGTCAAACTTAAGAAGCTCATGTCTCACACCATTTGTTTGTTTGTATGCAGCAGCAGTCCTTCATCAACTTATGAAAAACTTATGAACTTATTATGAAAAGAAAAAGCCCAAACAAACAAGCACAACACACACGCACTTCATTCCCTCCTGAAATGAAATCCTGAAGCTTGCTGCAACACAAATCCGGTGACCCGCTCCCTTACACACTGCACTTTCTACTTACACACTTCATGTCACTATCATCTCATTTTCTGAATGAGCTTTCCTTAGAGGCAAAAAAAATTCCAACAACCTACATGTTGATTATTGTTTCATCAAAGCTGACTCTAGCCCAAGACTGGACTTCAACTGTGAATTAAAAAAACTCTAAGAATGAAAAATAAACCCAGAACTGAGACAGTAGCACAGTTTTCAACTAACCAGAATGCACCAAATATTGAGAAACTGCAGCACATGATGGTGATGGTCAAGTGTTTCTCAAGAGATAATGGCCACTCAGAGAGATGAACTGCTCAGGTGGAAAGAACAGAGGTGCATAATGCCATTTGTGCAAGGCATCTGTTAATGCTATTGAGAATTTCACAACAGCCCTAGCTCTTCAAGTGAAACAAGAGCCTTCCCAATTTTTTTAAACTCTTTGGTGAAGAGATTTCTTCTGAGAAAAATAAACTTGTACATTAAAGAGAAGCTATGGCTTTTCCCAAAGAAATAGATTTCAGGGAAGCACAAGACAAGCCTTGCCTTCTTGATCTAGTTTTTTGATGCATTCTCTCTGAAATAGTGTTGAAAAATCCAACAAATATACGTGTGTATTATTAACATCAAAGCAAATTTGCACATATTTTCTTGGAGTTATTGAGTTTTCTCTGTTCTTGTAGGAATGAGGCTTAGAAGAGATTATGAAAGGCATTCTTTGACACCTCTTGGCTATATACACACATTTCCAATGATTTGCTGCTCAAATGATACACTTTGGTCTGGATCTGGATTTGGAATAAACTTTGTATGAGCATATACTGACAGATCCAGACACTTGGCAAGACACCAAGTCCTTCTCCTCATTTCTGAACGAGCATGTGGAGTACCTAGAACTGGGGTGATCAAATGATACAATGGGTGAATCTTTCCCGAGTTTCCCAAGAGACACTAGTAAAAATGAAGCTTTTTGGAGTCCAAGTTCTGCTTATTACATACAGCTCAGAGGTGAGTGTCACACAAATACAGCAATATGGGTAAAGACTTTCATAA